CTAGTAGTATTTGGGTCCACCACAAAATTCCATCAGTAGTTTGCAGCAACCATTTGCATGTGAAATGAAACAGTCAGAATTTTATCACCGGAAGAAAAAGGCAGGCTAAAATTCCAATAAAGCAACTACCTCAAAGTGTGCCAGGGGCCCATTTTCTGATTCTATTGATGCATCAATAGCTTCCTTTCCTTAGCCTCATCAAAACATTTAAAAACAAGAGAACAGCAGGAGCCAGCGCGGCCTCACTCAAGATGGCCACGTCGATGAATCGACTACTGGCCGTTGGATGCCGGATGATTGGTGGTGCTTTGGTTGACCAGGAGGCGGCGATGGTACGGCCAGGCGGGCCCCGTTCAGCTGACCTCCTCCCTCTTGCATTGGCCGTCGCTGGCCTGAAATCGGCAGACCCCACTATGCTAGTGTGCTGTCGAGCACGAAATGGCCAGCGCCAGGTCACCCGTCAGGGAGCGCTTTCCGTTGTTGAGCGGCCATTGGCTGGGGACGCTTCTGTACGACGCGCGCTTCTCAACGCCCGTGGCGCGGGCGCGCGGGAAAAGAAAATATCAGCCCTGTATGCCACGCTTTCCCCCCTCTCTCCACTCTGCTCACCGCTCCTCCCTCTCTCTCATGTGCCTCCACCGCTCCTCCTCTCTCTCACAGTAGTACGAGTGAGGGTGCGGGCAAGCATGCTTGGCGCGGCGCGTAAGCGCAGCCCCCAGTATGGCGGCCTCAACAGCAGGGAACCCCGCGGAGAGGCTGGCGAGCGGCCTCGACGTGGCGGCCCTGAACGGCGCGGCGGACGGCCCCCGTCCACAGCGCGCGCCCGCGCAGCCCCGAACAGCAACGGTGGATCTAGCGTCGACGGCAAGGTAGACTACCATCTCTCCTCTCTCTCTCTCTCTCGCTCTTATTCTTTTTAGCTCCGGTGATGCTGAGATCTCCCGGTCCTTTCTCAGGCTCGTACTTCGTCTGCTCCCAGGCCAGATCCCCAACCTCCGCCCTGCAGTCCGCGTGTGCCCGACCGAGGAGGAAGGTGTAGGGGCGAGCGTGGCGGTGGGTCTCCGGCGGCAAACCCGGATGGGGCGACCGATGGAGCGACGGGAGTGGAAGGAGGCGACCCGGCCGAGGGCGCGGGCGGGTGCAGCGGCGACCCAGCCGGCCGCCCCTCCCAGCAACACCACCATGATCCAGCGTGCGGGGTTCCAGCGAGGTCGGACCACATTTTCTTTCTCGATGCATCTGTTCGTGCTCTCGTCTGTACTCCTGTGTGCTTTCGTTTCTTTTTCTTCATTTCGATTTCTGTGCTGCCGCGGTTGGAGAGTGGAGGGGTCATGCCCGATCCAAAACGCAGAGACGGATGGAGCATGTTTCCTCTATGCTTCTCTTAGCTTCTGTGTTCATGAGGATTTTGGGCTTTCCTGTTTTCCTTTGTTGATTGCTGATGCTTATTCATCAGTGTACTGTGATGCATCGAGGTCAAGGAAGAGAAGGGGGTTCTTTCCAAAAATCGATTCGTACAGTCCAGTAGAATCAGAGTTCAGAGATGACCCGTACATCCTTTGCTTTCAGTTGTTTCGTGTGTCTTGTTCGTTTAGATTTGCCATGTGGTGTCTGGTTATGTGTGTTTTCCATCAGATTGCTTACAATTATTGGTCTTTACAGGTCCGAATCATCTTGATGTGAATGTCCTGTAGATGCTTCGCGCCCATGTATATTCATGACCACCTCGTCAGTTCTGATGGCTAAAGAAATTGATTGGTTAGAAAAGGGATCAACAGCATTGGTGTTTGCACTTTGGAAAAAATGTTCATTTATCTACTTTCTCCATTTTACTCTGCAGGAAAAGATGTTCATGTAGAGGCCATGCACTTTGGATTCCTGGCATGTATACAACTCACTCTTAACATAAATATTCAGAGCTGACTTTTAGTTCTTTTACCAGGCTAAAAAATGTGTTGGTTAATTCAAGACACCCACTTTGAGTTTAGATTAGCATTTTTAGCCTTATATGGTTAACTGTTGTCATGTTGGGTTGTGCTGATAAGAACATACCACCTGTAAACTTTATTTTTGAGATGCATATTTTAACTTTCAGCACTAATTGATACGACCATTTCAATTGCAGAAATGGAAGGAGCCATGGGCTCATGGTACCTTGTTCGGAGTGATGATTAACTCCTTAGGTACGTATTCCTTTACAAAGTATCTCAGCATTCAGTCTAGAGATTCTGCTTTTAGGATTGACCTTATGTTCCTTACTCTGTTTTGTGGCAAATTCTGGTTAATTGACCTTATGCCTCCTTGGCTTCCTTTCCTAGGAGTGTCTCAAGATATATATACTATTTAGATAACTTGCATATCGGTTTAGAAATCTGGCTTATGTATGTCTCATGTAATATATATGTAGTATTTGAACGTCTTGCATGGTTTAGAAATCCGGCTTTCTGTTCGGCGCGCATGGGCTCGCGCAAACCACTACAATAATTTCAGTACCTAATGTGCTCTCATCCTACAATAATCACAGTTTGGTTCCTCCCATCATATATTCTATCAGATTGCTCCTTGAATCTAGGTTTCATTCACACACTTTTTTTAATTTCTTCATGGAATAATTGTTGGATAGATAAAAAGCAAGAGGGGAAGGAATGGTACCCGGAGCAAGAGCTGCAACGGTCTATTGGTAAATGTATGATTGGTCCTAAGCTTGTATGAAAGTCATAAATGATTGGTCCTAATCTGTAAATAGTATATCAACAATAACATAAGTGTTCAGGTCCAACGCCTGATTACTTTACGCATTCTCTAAAATTAGATTTTATTATAAACTATTTAAGTCCCAGTCTTTCTTCTCTATATGCTCTGAACTGATAGCTACCTTACAGTGTCCATATTTTTGTTTCTTGTCACAACCAACCGATGTGTTGCATATAAAGCATGTTGGGTTAAATGTATGCCAATAAAATGAATATTTTATTAACAATATTGGGTAATTGGGTTAAATGTTGCCTGATGTTCAAGAAGGTCTAGAACTGAAAGCACGAACAATGTTTCCTGCCCGCTCTTTTTTTGTTGTTAATTACAGTCTGGTCATACGATTATTATCGCATAGGAAGCAAATGGATAGCCAGTCTATAAAATATATTTCTGATTATATGTTCAACTATGTAGTTTTTGACACTGAATGATCTGATGCTTTGAGTATGTCCTATTATATTCTGCGAGGTTGAAGTTTGAGAGCAATTAAGCACCCGTGACCTGTCTTTCTATAGGTTTCGCTAGCATTTTAGTGTTGTCCTATGAACGTGCCCCATAAATTGATTTGCTTTATATTTTTGTAAACGTGTGTTTGCCAGGTGTATATTGCGGTTGAAGCTAAACTAAATGTTGTTATTGTTTGGAGCCTGGCAAAGACTTACCCAAGTAATTTAATTGTCATTTCACTGCTTTCGAAAAATCCTAGAATCAGGCATCCAATTACTGATATTAATAGGAGCATATCAAGCCAAGAATAGAGTGGAAACACTGCTTCTAGTTGGGGTATTTTAATCACTCTTGTTTCAGGGTCTCGACCATTTTAAGCAGATGCACTATGTATGACATCCTAAAAATAACTTACCTAGACTCTCTATGCAAATTAGAAAATAACACAAAATAAGATGTAACCTCTATATTACTAATATGTTATTGTTGATATACTATTTATATATTATAGTTTGAAGGTCAGGAAAATTACAGTCAATAGAAAACAGGTTGCAGCCACAGCTACTCGCACATTTTCACGGGATATTACAAAAATAGTTTCATTAAGGTTCACCTTTGCAGTCACTCTGATTCAACAGACCTACATACAGACATAAAAAAAAACTATGCTTCGGTGGTAGCACAGGTAATGAATAGATGGTCATCTTTTTTTATAGATAGAGCAAACAATCATCTTATATGTCATTTACCACTCTCGCTACCAGTTTACTTCAATGAACACTTTTTCTCACTTTTGTATACCAGCGGAAGAATTTGACGAGGGTAGGGAGATCCTTAAAGAAGCTTATGAGCAGCAGCGTAGAGGTGATATTCAGCTAGAACCCAAGGCTTCAATACAGTGACATTTCATAACCAAGATCAGGAGAAGCTCAAGAGCAGTAGCTACTTCCCTTAAATATTATAGCTAACCCTGTGCTCCTATGACATGTGCTAAGCATTGTGCTCCTATGGCACTGGAGATCAGGGCAGCCTCTCAAGCATATGCCAATTTCCTTAGGGGCTACATCTTATCATCTGCTACTATGACTTTTGTTGTATGCAGTATGCTATGTTGTGCCATCTCGCAGTGTATGCCTCCTTTATCTTCTGTCCTACGATTGTTCTATGTAAAATATATGTACTGCTTAGACATCTAACGTGTTAGTATAGGCCTGCCTCGTGTAAGACTAAGTACGATTTGAACACTCTTTATATCTCGCGTAAAATATATATGTGCTGTTTCGACATATCGCACGTGATCGCAGTTGTTTTAGAATGCATCGCTGGACTACCTGTTAGCTGAACGGTATAGGCAAATGCCTATTGCTCTCACTATCAGTGCTTTTCCATTGCGAATTCTCCATTACCTAGATACAAGCACGGCCAGTGACTCGCGCGCATGGGCGTGCGCAAATGACTAGTCACTCAACGGTTCCGCTGGGGCAGGACCTCTTCCATCATTTCCAACAGAAATCCGTTCACGGGACGTGCTGTAAGAGCTTGCTTGCTGAGAAGACCAAAATGTTCACCGGCTAATATACACTAGTCTGTTGTAAAAGTCTAGATGAGCATATGCATTACAGCGTCCAAGAGCAAGCAGTGCACAAACATAGCCTCAGTATTTGTTATTCAGAGAACTCTAGCCTTTCAGGCATAAGGTATTTGTGACAAGAAAGAGCGTCGGTATAACTCGTTACACAACAAGAAGCCGTGACTACATCTCCATTCATCAAGGCTCAGCAGATAGACAAACAACAGAGTTATCTATCAGAGGACGTCGACTGGATTTCGATATTGTCAATTAGCCTGACCTTTCCGAACCATGCCGCGACACAAATTACACAAGGGCGGTCCATCCTCTCCACAGGCACCAAGCTTTCTTGCTCCACGATCTGCATTGACACCAAATAAAGGTCGGTTTTGATTTGAATCAATAAATATGGAATCACTTGATTATAACATGTTGCCAGAGATGGTTCTATATATGCTTTAACAAAATAACCTAATCAAAACAAGTAGTAGCCATCATATCAGGTAATTAAGCACTAGGTTCTCATAACAAAAAAAAGATGGTTTAGTTGTACTAAATTCTACTATCAGAGGCAATAAATTTGCAACATGTCATGCAGATTTCAGCGGTTTCCCTCCCCAGAGGGAGTCCAGCAGCACTATATTGTACTAAAAGAAAACAGTAAGAAGAAAAACCATGATGAGTGAGATAATAAAAAACTCAACCACTAATAGAAGACCTATGAGGATTTTCGAAAATGAACACAAAACGGCAGATCAGGTCGCCTATCTTGCGAAGGAGGATATTATTCAGAGGCGTAGGGCCGTGTGTATTGCGGGGTAAAACAACAAGTGCGTGATCTGTGGCCTTTGTGTTTTGGCCCTATGACCGGTGCTTTTGGGCACCGTAGGTGCCATTGTACATAAAACTCTATTTCCTTCTTAATTGAGCGGCAGAGCTCCTGCCTTTATTTTCAAAAAAACTAATAGAAGACCTATGAACAGTAGTATTGTTCAGGAGCAGCACGGAGGCACAGTAGAAAGTGTAGAACATTACCTCAACATAGTCAACCTGACCACCAGCTTCAGTAAGTGTCTGCACTATTTGATCTTTTATTTGTTGGCTATGATTGCTTCCATTGAGGGCAGCGGTTCTAGCATCCACCAGTGATCTACTTATTGATAACGCCTAACAAACGAATGACCACCGTTAACAGCTAGGTTTATTGTGAGAAGGAACAAAGATGTTTACAAAAGTTACCTCCGAAGGTAATCCAAATGCAGAAAAACTTTATTAACAAACAAATCAAATTGTCAAGTTGTAACAATGAAACTACAAAGCTACCATTATCTTCTGATCTATAGCATGGAAGCAACACCACAGGGAAGGGTAATCTAGTACATGTGAAAATCAGCATAATGAGTAACAGTATGAAAATTATCGTTTCTTCTACAAATTTTACATGCAGTCGACTATCACATTATAGCCTAAAATCATCATATTTGCATTTGCAGATTAACTCCCATTCTTCCCTTATTATCTAGTTCTATGAACTACCTTAAGATTGTTGTGATGATAAACTGACAATAGCTTTTGGGTCTGCACAAGGACAGCGAAGCAGAACCAAAACGGTAATGGCAATTTACTAGTCGTCTTAACTTAACAGAGTATAGTTTACAACCATGGCTACTGCAGGAAAGTTGCTGCATGAATCCAACCTGATTAAATTAAATACTGAAGAAACTGGACAATAAGTTTTTTTTTCTACAAAATACTTAAACCTCACTTCTCTATTTTTTGGTGATTGTTGTACCACATAGTAAAAAAAAAGGTACATTACAAAAAATAAATTGCAACTTCCAGTAAAAGACAGACCTTCTCCCTATCCTCGTGTGACAGATTTACATTGCGAGAGCTCATGGCAAGACCATCAGCTTCACGCACTATTTCCGAACCAACTATCTGTATAGCAAAATCGAGGTCGCGAACCTGAAAACAGCAAGAGCTTGTATCAGTAACAGAAATCAAATAAACTTGATCTGAGATAAATAGCTAAGACACATTACATGGGGCTAGAGTTGGAGTGAACATGAAAACAGAAAACAAGCAAAGTTGGCTTCTAAAGAGACACCCAGTGCCAATTTTTTGTTTTCTTTTAGGGGGGCTGGTGAAGCAAAAGTCATTGCCTGAAATGTTACAATTCACCATCAGTCGATGGCCTAAGGCCTATCTGGTTTCAATTTGCCATGGCTGTCTTTTTTCTGCAGATCCTAAACGGAAGAAATTATGTCTGTGTCGATGTCAAAGTTGTTACCATCCGGCAGATGATGCGCCACTGCTGATAATCCTTTTTCCCGAATACAGCGACGTCCGGCTCGACGACGTTGAACAGCTTGGCGACCACGGTGGCCACTCCGCGGAAGAAGACGGGCCTGCTGCTCCCGCACAGCCCCTTCTCCAGCCGCTCCACCCGAACCCACGTCTCGTGCGCATGCCCACCGGCGTCCTCCAGGCACGACACCACGCCGCCGGACACGCCAGCGGCGGAGGGGCCGTCAGCGCTTCCGCGGACGTAGAGGTCCGGGGGACAGAAGACTGCGGCGACGACCCCGGTGGCGGCCAGCTTGCGGAGGTCGCCGGCGAAGTCGGAGGGGTACGTTGCGAGGTCCTCGGTGGGGGCGAACTGGCTGGGGTTGAGGTAGATGGAGACGACGACGGCGACGGGGCCGGCGGAGGCCGCCACGGCCGCGGAGACGAGCGACAGGTGGCCCTCGTGGAGGAAGCCCATGGTGGGGACTAACGCGACGGCCTTTCCCTCCGCGCGGCGGCGGCGCGACCACGTGCGCATCGCCGCCTTGTCGCGGATCACCTCCGGCTCATGTACCGCCGCCGCCGCCATGGGTCAAAATGGAATCAGACGCACAGACCCGGAACAAGTCAGAAACCGAGAAGATAGAATAGAGTGGAGGAAAAGACGGACTTTGTTGACAATAAATGGGAGTGGGATGCGACGGTGGTGACTCATGAGAAAATGGAACCGAGGACAGTCGCTCAGTGGGAGGGACAGCAAGGAATTTTCCTGGAGTCTTTCCAAAACAATACATACGGTCAGTAGCATCCAGGTTAGTTAGACTCTTTCGTGGACATGATAGGGACGCATATATGTGCATCCCTATTGTATTTTTTTTTAGCAAAACAGGAGGGGAATCCCCTGCTGAACTCTTTTTATAAATTTTATCTGTACAAAAGAGCAAAAGCTAAACAAACTTAAAAAGAATAAAGGCAGTCCTTAAGAGCATCCCTATTGTATTTGACACCCCCATCGACGCTAAAATTGCTGCTACCACATCCCCTTGGATATCTCGCTGTATCTGCATCCACTTGTGGTTGGCCAAGGAGAGAACAATGCTCACTTCATCTGACAAGACAAACCTTGGATAAACAGTTTCCTTTCAAGGTCAGGGAGCTTCATTAATCATTATATTATATCCTAGCAGGATTACCATAGTTTTTTTCAACCTATAGGTGCTGACAAGCCACACTGCTGCAGCTTCATTAATCAATATGTCTAGGCAGGATTACCATATATTTTTTTCAAACTATAGGTGCTGACAAGCCACACTGCTCGCTGCTCTCTACTAAAAAGATGTCAACATTATTACAATTCCGCAAGGGGAAACAATAATTGAAGAACTGAATTTCTTGCTGAGCCCTTTGATATCCAAAAGGAAATTCTGTTGGTTACTTTCCACATATCACAAATGAGTAGTGTACAGAAGGCACACTATGCTTGGTAAATGCTTGCAGCAGTTTCAGCTGACCCATAAACTTTTTACAGCCTGTTCGACAGCCTGTATTTGGCTTATAAGCCTTGGCTTATCAGCCAACGAACAATATTTTTCTCTCACACCAAACCAGCCAGCAATACTTTCAGCCATGGCTTATAAGCCAATCCAGCCGAAACGAACAGGCTGTTAGAGCCTTGGAGATCTTCAGCCCCCAAAAGTATTTAGCCCCCCAAAAAACCATGTTTACCCTTTTGCGACAAAGTAACATCTATTTTGCACTTTTCCAGCAAGCCCAGGCAACCGAGGTCGCCGGGTGGTGGATCCGCCAATGCATCAGACAAGAGAGTCGGTTCCCAGAATCCCATGCATGATGAACCCTTCATCTGAGGAACAATTGTGTCATTCAGCATCTCATATATTTCAGGACATTGTGGATGCTCTTGATCCCTTGAGCAGAACACATGATTCCTCATGTTAACCTCAATCTGACTAAAACCAGGCGTCCTCTTCGCCTTGCTGCCCCTCATGACCTTCCACACATTTGCTGTTTCATCCCACATTCCATGTGATGCAAATACATTGGCCAGGAGCCTGTAGCCTCCGGAACCAGAGGGGTCAAATCTGACAAGATCTTCACCCACTTCTCTTGCTACCTCCACCTCATTATGCATCACACAGGCTCCCAGAAGCGTCGCAAGAATGGCCTCATCGCACATACCCTGCTGCATACCATCGACAAGTTCCTTGGCTTCCCTTACATACCCTGATCGACCTAGAAAGTCCACAAGGCAAGAGTAGTGCTCAACGGTTGGTTCTACTCCATAAACATGGTAAATGGATTTGAACATCTTGCGACCTTTCTCAACCAACCCAGAATGCCTACAAGCAGACAGCACAGCAGTGAAGGTAGTTGAACTGGGTTTATACCCATGTCTCAACATCCGAGAAAAGCCCTGTAAGGCATGGTAACCACAGCCATGGTTCGCAAAAGCTTGCACTATCGACGTCCATGTGATGGCATCCTTCTCTTCCAATCTTTTGAAGGCAAACCAGGCAGACGTCAGATCTCCACTTCTCGAATACATTGTGAGCAGAGCATTTCCTAAGGAAGTTTCTGACAGGAATCCAAGTGCAATAACCAACCCGTGAATTTGCTTAACTTCAGCTGTGCTCTCAGATATAACCAGGATACTTATTAATGTTCTGATGTTAGGAGACAATGCTGACCGACGCATAAGAATAAACATGTTTAAGGCTTCATGCTTACGCTCGTTCTTTGAATATGCCTCAATGATGGTACTCAAGGTCACAAGGTCTTTTGCAAGCATTGTATCGAATAATCTCTGCGCCTCATTCAGTTGGCCATTGTTGGCATAAGCGGTGATCATTGCATTCCATGCTGCAGTATCCTTCGCTGGCATCCGATCAAAGAACTCTCTTGCCCTGCAAGCAAGACCATTCTTTGCCAAGCCAGTGACCATTGTAGTCCAAGAAACAGCATTCCTGTGTTTGTGTGGCATCCTCTCAAACAACTGAACTGCTTCGGCCACTTTCCCAATGCTGAGAAAACCAGAAATCATGGCATTCCAGGAATACGAGTTCCTCTCAGGCATCATATCAAACAATTCCCACGCCTCCTGAATGTGACCACTGTCAACATAGGCCTTAACCATGGCCGTCCAAGCGACCACATTCCTCTGAGGCATCCGATCAAACATCTCCCTCGCTTCCCTGAGCATCCCATTGCTCGTGTACCCCTGCACCACCGTCGTCCACGAATAGTCATTCCGATCAGGCATGACGTCAAACAACTCCCGCGCCTCGCGAACGCGGCCGGCGCGGAAGTACCCGGAGACCATGGAGGTCCAAGTGACGACGTTCTTCACCAGCATTCCCTCGAACAGCTCGCGCGCGCGGTCGACGCGCCCGGCCTTGACGTACCCGCCGAGCATGACGGTGTCCAGATAGAGCCCCCGGGCAGCCGCGGGCGCCGCGCGGAAGAGCGCCTCCGCGCGTGGCAGGTCGCGCTCACTGAGGTGGCGGGCGACCATGGCGGCGTAGGGCGCGGCGGCGGCGTCCCGGTCCGGCGTCCCGTCGTAATCGAGCACAGCACGAGCAGCCGCGGCGCTGTGCTGCGGCCTGGGGTCCTGGCCGGTCGTCGAGCAGACGTCGTCGTGGGCGGCGCTCTGCCGCAGCGGGGTAGAGGGCTCCGCGACGGCGCCGTGGAAGCGGAGAGCAGCGGTGCCGGTGGCGTCGCGCCTCCGCCGCGCGAGGCCGAGGGCGTGGGCATCGTCGTTGCTGGTGTAACGGGTGTCTCCACGGGCGCGTCGCCGCGGAGGCGGACAGGACCTCGTGACGGTGCTCTGGCGGCGGAGCTGCGAGCATTGGACGAGGAGAAGGAGGACGCGCCGGCAGCGGCGGAGCATTGGGAGGGAGGAAGATGACGCCGACGGGCGCGGTGGCGCGAAATTCTGCGGCCGGTCCCTCGGGTTATTCAAATATATATCCAGGATAAAATTTGGGACGATTCTGAACCGTCCGATTCATTATCGGTAATGCTATAAACCGTGCGTCTGATGTCGGATGCCCCACACTCCCACTCGCACTCAGCCCACTTCCTCGGCTTCGTCTGCTCCCCGCCCTTCCCCTCACTCGCTCTCCTCCGTGCATTCCATGTGCCTCCCCCTCGCCTCCAGAGGGCTTTCCTACCCGCCACTTCCTTGCTCATCGCGCATCTCGCCGGCAGTGCTTCCTTCCTCCCTCCGTCCATCGCCCACCGCGACCTCTATGCACCCCCACTGTCACTGCGACCCCGTTCCCACACCCCATCGAAGACGAGGAGGATGGCGGTGGCTCCAACGAGGTAGGTGGCGGAGGGATCTGGATCTGAGGCCTGCTCCTCCTCTCTGGATCTAGATCTGAGCCCTCCTCCTCCTCCTCCTCCGGATCTAAGGGATGCGGCGGTGGCTAGGGTTCCGGCGAGCTCTCGGGGTCAGATCTCGCCGTGTTGCAATTGTTTTTTTTATGTTGCAACAGATGATTTCGAATGTTGCAACGGGACTTTTTTTTTGTTGTTGCAACAGATGTTTTTGCGATGTTGCAGTAGTACTGCTTAAGATGTTGCACTATGTTTCAGTTGCTTCAATCTTATGTTGCAGTAGTTGTTCCATGTTGTTGCAAGTGTTTTTATTTTCAAGTGTTGTTCATATGCTTCACACGAATGTTGTAATAATATGTTCCAAATATTTCAGCTCCTTCTACCTATTGTTGCAGCAGTTTGTTCGGTGTTGTTGCAATAATATGTTCATGGTGTTTCAGCTGCTTTAGCCTAATATTTTAGTTGTTGTTCCTTGTTGTTGCAATAATATGTTCATGGTGTTTCAATTGCTTTATCCTAATGTTGCAGCTGTTGTTCCTTGTTGTTGCAATATATATGTTTATGGTGTTTCAGCTGCTTTAGTCTAATGTTGCAGTAGTTGTTTCCATATTATTGCACGTGTTTTTATTCCAGCTTTCTATGTTGTTCGGTCGGGGAGGGGCGAGCCGGAACGGACGGGGGCGCGTGGTTTGCCGGGGCCTAGCGGGCGGAGGTGCTGGGGCCGGCGAACGTGGGGGTGCTGTGGCCATGGGGGCGCTGGGCATGTAGCATGCTCGTCGCGGGCGTGGGGCGGACGTGACGGGCTGCGGGGCGATCTGGGGGCGTACGGACTCGCATGGCACAGAGGCTAGCGGGGCTCTTTGTAGGCGTCACGGTCGTGGGTTTGTCGGTGTTAGCGGGACTCTTCGTTCGACGAAGACGTAGCAATGATAGTTCGTTATTGTGGAGAAGGAGCGCGATCTTAGGGCGGCGGCGGCGGTCCAAGAAAGTCCGCTCTTTACGCATATCGCCAAATTTGACGATTCTGAAGCGTCTTTGGTAGTGTCTTGGTGAATCGAGAAGGAAGAACGCACGCTGGGGGAGTGCGTCCGCAACCGTCCGATGGATCCGTATCCATCGGACGTCCGGGCGCCAGCGCTCCCCATTGTTTAATGGAGGCTCACAATGGCTTGGGGCATTTGCGAAATAGGCCCTAACACTTTAGATTACTTTCATACACGCCCTCTCCCCAATTGCATCGGATTCGGTAGGGGTAATGCTGGGAGCTAGATGTCCTCGCGCGGACGCCCTCGTTGTTGAACTCGACGTCTAGAAGTTGCCATTCCTATTTGTTCTATCCGCTCCTCTTCAGGCACCGCAAATTAAAAAAAAATCACGGATCCGCTCCCGCGACCGCAATGTATGTTGCAAAGGTCTGTTACCAATATTTTATCTGTGTTTTTCGAATGCATGTTGCAAGTGTGTTTGTCTGGATATTGTAAATGTTTTACACATACATTGCATGCGTGTTTATCTGGATGTTGCGTATGGTTGCAATAGTAGTGTTTTCAGGTGTGTTTTTCAAGTGTTTCAGAAGCATGTTTCAAGTGTTTTATCTGTCTCCAGACGTATATCGCAACTATTGTATTTGGATGTTTCAAAAGCAGATCGGGTATTACATCTCTCCTCCTCGCCTTCTGCTGCGTCGTCTCGTGTGTCCTCCTCTCGGCGCCAGCAGGGTATCCATACGACGCTGCGGCCGGGTCCTTCTGAATCGGAGGTGCCCCCTTCCCCTCTTGTTGCTCGAACGGCGCGGGCCCTGCATGGAGCACGCGAAACAGAGTGCAGCGCATGGGCATCCGTCCGGAAGTCCGGGCCCCCAATTCGGCGATCACAAAATTGAAGATGAAAATTTCTTATCTGGAACTCTAAACACAGATTGGATTGGACGGTGAAACGGAAATCTGTTCCTTATTCAATACGAAAACCTCCAATAAAAATATAATTGCACCGTGATCACGCAAGCAAAATCTGAGACCGACGATACTCTCGATACATACACACCCAATGCAACTAAGTGATGAAGGTGGATCGGGAGAGAAATCAGCAAAGCATGGCATGCAGAGCAACGTGGAGGCGGCGGCGACAGGAGCAGGAAGGGCCGGCGCCCGGCCGCGTCTATACGAAGGCGTGCTTCTCCAGCAGCTTGAGGACGTCGTCCTGGTTGTTGAGCTTGGCCACGTCGATGGGCGTCTTCCCGTCCAGGTTCTGCAGCGTCCTGCATGAGCAATCCAATCAACCCGCAGGTGTCATCAGGCTGCTAGCTAGCTTTCAGGTGAGCCGGCAGATCGGGGGAGCGGGCGGGCGGCTTACACGGCGGCGCCGCTCTCGAGCAGGAGCGCGACGCAGTCCTTGCGGCCGTATCCGGCGGCGTAGTGCAGCGCGGTGTTCTTGTTCTTGTCGACGGCGTCCACCGCGGCGCCGGCCTCCAGGAGCGCCTGCGCGCACTGGAGCTCGCCGTAGCCGCACGCGAAGTGGAGGCCACGCCGCCCTTCCGAATCCTCCTCGTCCTTATCTGCGCCGTCCTCCAGCGCTTTCTTTAGGCCCTGCGTGCAGCTCCAACGACCACGGCGGTGCGTGTCACGGTGTCAGCACCATGCATGTCGTAACCTTAACGAGCTAAAGGAGCTGCGTTCGTGCGTGGCAGCGGCCCAGACCTCGACGTCGCCGACGCTCGCGGTGTGGTGGACGATGGACTCGTCCTCGTACTCGCCTTCCTCCCCGGCGTCGTCCTCCGCCTCGGCGTGCTCCGCGCCGCCGGCCTCGCCGGACGGGCCGCCGCCGACGCCCATCGCGCGGCCGAACTTCTGCAGAGCCTCGGGGTCGTTCCAGTACCTGAACCATGAAACACGCATTCGATCATTCGTTCACCATGGCAGTTCTTCCCGTACTCGATCATCGCTTGTTGAAGGAACAAAGCAAGCTCGCAGCTCACTTCATCATGGCGGCGGGGCCACCGGACTCGATCTCGTCGAGGATGGGCTTGAGCTCGGGGTCATCCTTCATGCGCGCGACGCGGGCCTCCAGCTGCTCCTTGTGCGCCGGGTTGGTGAGGCCTCCCAGCATGGTGGACACGGCCGGGTCCTGCATCAGCGCGCTGCCCAGCCGCTCCGCCATGGCCACGAACTGCGGGTTCTGCATCAGCTGCTGCATCGTCGCCACGTACTTCTTCGGGTCCAGCTGCGCCGCCGGCGCCTGCTGCTGCCGCGGGGACACCACCGTCTTCTGTAGCTGCTCCGCCATCTCCGTGAACGCCGGGTCCTTGGCAATCTGCTCTGCCATCTCCTTGATGCTAGGGTCCTGCCGACGACAACTCAACATTTGTCAACCAAGAAAGATGTCGAGGGCCGGCCATCGTCGGAAATTCACAAGGTAGGCGGTAGGCCAATTAATCAACCTCTTTCAGCTGTAATAAGATCAAACTCGGCTAAATGTCACAAAATTTGATTCCTTTTTTGAAGTTAAGTTTGTTATATGTATAATTGTTGCTACCAAGTTTCATATGGAACATCTCGAGTTTTGCAAAAGCATCTGATGAGCAAAAGGAGGAAGACGACTCAGCAGCGTACATTGAGAAGGTTCATCATGGTGGAGAAGTCGAAGGGGTTGGCCGGCGCCGACGGCCCTGCCCTGCGCGCCGCCCCAGCTGTCTTAGGCTGAGGCTGCTGCTCCGCCGCCGGCGCAGGCTCCTCTGTCGTGACAGCAGCAGCAGTCTTCTCCTCTGCACAAACACCACCCCAAGTCGTCTTGAGCTTCTCGATTACTTCATTTCATGGCCACAAATCGCGCACGCCAAGAACAGTTGAACAGAAGAGAAAGCATGGCATGGAGAAGAATCAAATCAAATCAAATCCCTGACCTTGCGCAGCCATGTCGACGGCGGCGGGGAAGGAGGCGCTGGCGATGAACTGAGCGAGCGAGCGAGGATGGCGATAAGGTGGGTGCCTCTGGCTGCAGTTGTGGAGAGGAGAGGAGTCAGGAGAGGAGCTGAGGAGGGAAGGCGACCAACCAGAGGCGCCCACGCCGTGATTTGGCTTATATAGCGTTTGAGTGATTGCAATTTGTACACATGGATGATGGATATGCTGCAAGGAGCATCTCCTTTCACAGAGAACCAAAAGAAAAAAAGAAGAAGGTAAAAGCACCACCACCACAGCCCACAGGTAGATCTCCTTGCAAGTTATCAGTGTTTTTGCATTTTTTTTCAGGGTGTTTTTGCAGGTTAAAAACATCGGGTTTTTCAGGATTTCTTGATGCAAATCTTGCTCTTTTAAGTTGTGAATGAAATTAAAAGGTTTTCTTTTCTTTTGTTTGGTCTCATGGCAAGCATGGAGTATGGACTTTCAAAGGTGAAGTTGACAATTCTGTGACTATAATTTATCTTAAATAAAGACCTCCTTAAAATGGAGACCTTGTACTTTGTTTTCCTATCTACTGTATATAATACAACAAAGCTGCGCATGGCTCGTTCATTCAAGAGGGCAAAAAGGAAACAGTGTTTTTAGCTTA